CCATCCGTTTCTTCTGTTTAACATAAATTGGTCCACTTCCGTTGTTCTCCCGCTTTCTCACTGATGAGCGTCGGCACACACTACACAGCGTTCTGCAGTTTCTCGCAAATCGGAGTGTGCGGTAATTTTTGGTTCTGAAAACTGTTTCCTAGTTGAGTTTGCAATTTCGCAACCGGACTTTTGGTGGACAGCGAATTCCCACGGGATAGCCCGCTTTAGTTTGTTAGGACATATTCACATTTTTACTATTGTTTTGACATGAGGCTTTTAAGTCTTCTCCAACCGCTATTGAAGTACCTGACTTTACCAACCATCCTACAAACGCTGTGTGGGGGTGTATAATAAAATAAATTAATAGTGTATTTCGTCGCTCCGGCAAACCACGCTGCTCCACAACCATAGCCTCTTTGGAATTAAGGTCGCCAAACCAAATTCTTGAAGGTAAACTTAACAAAAAATCACCGCGATTCGCATTATTAGTGCTCAACAATGAATGAACATAGAATGCAAGGCTTTGAACATATAGTGCCTTATCAAACCGTTACCTCTTTCTGGTTTAGAAAGCAACTATTTGGACTAGTCGATAGAAAACGTTTGCATTAAAGGCTTCACAATTGCACACGATTCGCAGATGACAATAAATAGTACTTTATTTTGAAATCTTTTTCGTTTTCACAAAAATTTGCATATTTAGTATCTTGATTTCAAAGGTCAGTTCTGTCTGGTTGTATAAACGATCCGGAATGTATGGCATTTCCACGCATCGTTGCATGCGTGTGTTAATTCTTCTATTCATAGGTAAAATCAGATGATACTGCCATGGATGGACCAATATACATGTTTGTGAGTGAGGTCTCCCACTCCGTGAGCAGTTCGGTAAGAGTCGATCTGTTCAGCTTAATAAATTACGGGTTCGTGTAATGATATTCCGTCCAAAAAGAGTCTTAATTGCCAGCAATATTGAATGGCCCTAAATAATCACCGTCTACTGATTTTAATAAAACTCTGAGAATCTCCTAAGACTGAGGTTTCGCGGTGTCAGATGCTGTATGTTACATCAAATTGAGCGCTGTTTACAAAGAATCACGAAGCATTTCCGTGTGTGGTTCCTTTTGCAACACATCTTGATAATTTAAGTTTAGTTCAGAAATATCCTTGCTTGAAGTCTGGTATAGACATTCGAACGAATGTAGGTTGGATTTCAATGCGCACGTTCCTGCTCATAGTGACAAAAATCATTAGTTAGAACGCTTTATTCTCTTTGTTTCAGATTGTGAACACGCACAGTACGCGTTTTTTGAGTTACAAACAACCACATCGCATCTGTTAGCGATCTTGTTAGCTGGTGCTATGGGTGAAGAGCTCAGGCAGCTGCAACAGGTGGGGAGTATTTTTTGAACGTTTGACTCACAAAAAGTGTAGAAAACTTGGTGGAGTCCTTGAACACAATAAACGAATTCACATTCCGAAAAATTTATCTCCACCAGTATTTCTCCAGCCAAATTGGTCTACGTTTTATTGCTGGAGGGATCAGTGGCCTGCCTAAATGCATTGCAAACTGACTATCCCGTATGCGGTCAAATCGTTTTTTTCAACAGCACGTATTCGGTTAAACATTGTTTGCCTGATGCCTAAATTTCCTGAAGACTTTACCCACTAAAGCGTTGTCTGTATGTGAGGTTCAGTGCCTTTTTCGGTCTGTATTAGTCCATCCTGTAGGTGGCAAGTTGGGTCCTTTCACCATGAAGTGTCTTCGTAAAATTTACCATAATACCATGACACCGTACAACTAGGTTGCAATAGCTCGGGCGTATAATATATTGTCTGAGGCATAAATAAAAGGTTAAAAAAGCTGATTACACTAGGGTTTTAGCTAGGACATTATACTTAGAAAGGTGTTAATCAGCACGCTACTTTTCCGGAGTCGTTATCGTACGCACTTCTGATGGATGAATGGACTTCCCATAAATCTTTTGTTGTAAAGCTGGCCCAGTGTACGTGGTTAAGCTTCGATTGTATTTTGATGGTTCCAATGAATTTTCAAGAGAATTAAATCACACGAAAAAATGTCACACATGATTGCACAACAAATACAGGTTGTATTTTGAAACATAGGTGATTTTGGTAGGTTCTGAGTAATCCTAAGATCCACGAACCTAGTCTAAAATTGCAAAAGTTGTGTCAACTGAATTTTAATGATACCCTTGTTATACATGGGGGTGTCGAATTGTTCTTCTTACTTTTTAACCACACGGATAAACACAGTACAATAAACATGGCTGCTGGATATAAAACGGAGCATTTTCCTTCACTTTTCCGAAAATGAGGAGGTGTTTGTCGGCGACCAAACTGGATCTGTGCAAAATTATATCTTAGGCAAATCGATCTGACTGTGAACCAGCTGCTCGCAAATGTACACGTGTGGTCCAGGTGTTTTGGTTGGTCATATCATCTATCAAAGTGTTTGTAAACGTGCAATTGTTCAAAATTAGCGGTTTTCCTTGATTCCGAGCCCCATGAAGCCTTGAATTAAGATGTTTATAAAGGTTCATTTATTACCTGTAACGATAGCGTGTTCAAGAGTGTAGTTGCCACAGCGTACACGTAAATTACACGTTAACCTTGCTAAAAGTGGTTCGGCGTTTGCTATTCAGATGCATTAGGTTCATAAACATTTAGCAAATCGTGGATACCGATAGCGGTTGGATAATTTACGGAGCAAATATCAAACTTTAAGTTTTTATAAATGTTTGTTCATTTGGTAAATACGTGCAAACAAAACTTTCTAGCGGTTTGTCTTATCATTTCTTGTATCGAGATCATAACTCAACAGGGGAAAATATTATGTAAAGTATAAAACGCTGTCAAAACTCTCGTGGGACTCAAAAAAGTCTATTCTTTAGGCATAAAACTAGACTGAAAGAAGTTTAGGCATCATATCGAGTTAAAGACATCGTAAAGAAAAAAATATCAAGTCAGTAGCTGGTGAGGTCTTACATACCTGGTATCATGTCGAGGAAGATTTAGACGTATACATGTACATATTTATATATATATAAATATATATATATCAAGCATACAGAAGATGTTAATGTTGGCGATGGAATTCGAAGAACAAACGGATTACCCATCAAGTAAGCTACCGAGGACATTTCGACAAAATCCACCGCTTAGCAAGCTCTACTGCAAGCCACACTAACCCACGTCACATTCTAATTTGTAGAAGTTCCCCTAACAAAAAGTACTCAGTTAGGTATGTTGAATGGCCAAATCCTCCCAGTCTAAAGGTTCGCAATCTCAGGTATGTTATTCTTTGTTTCAAATGATCTAAATTTTTACATAAAATTTGTACTAGGAGTTTTTGTAGGGGAATCAAGAAGGCACAAATTTGTCGGTCCTCATAACGCAAAATTTTGAGTGCGCATTAGAGCGCATTGAGAGTTTCAGTACTGTTTTTAACGTGAGGGTTTGCAGTACATCTTCCGCCTCAACTGAATGCAACTTCACAATTTCCAAACGGACTCAGTGCTGAAAAAATTCTTTAGTGTCCATAAAAGGTTATTTTTTAGCATGAAATTCTTTCTGGTTAGTGCGAGGAAACGTTTGTGCACGCTTCATTGAAGTCCTTCAGAAAAGGATTGCTGCATAACACTAACATTCACACATGTCGAAATTTCTAAATAACAACCCTCAGTTGCACAGCAAAATCCAATGCATTAATTAATAGCTTAAAGTAGGAATAGACTGCTTCCGTAGCTATCGGTTACAACATGTCATTAAGCTTTATATCGCTCAGCAGCGCACTTCATCCAAACTGACTGGCATGAACTTGCCTCGACTAAATTCACGTGGATCCCATTTTAAAATATATTCTATCAGGTTTCTCTTTTGACAGATCTGAAGTGTACTAGGGTTACCTACTGGTGTACTTTTAACAATGCCTCGTCTGCTGCCAGGAACTGATGAGACTAGGTAGGAATTTACCACAGGACTTGTACAACATTATGCTAGAAGCAAGGTCGAAAAGGTATCCAGTTTGTAGCACAGGGATATATCACGGGTTTTATGAAACTGAATTGCACTAAGCTTCACCACAGACGTTGGTTAACAAAATATCAAGGTTGTTTGTTCACCAAAACAAGCGATTTGTTCGCAGTTTTTCTGAGGAGAGCAATTTCACAAACTCAATTTCCAACCTATTTCTCACTCACTTTCAGTAAAATGTTTCAACCATGCCACAGCTCGTCTTAAATCGCTCTTACTAAGACCTTGTGCAATCCAGACAACCATGAAATATTTTTTGAAGAATATTTTATAGTTTAAAATAATGCAGAGCAGTTTTCCCACGTGAAAAATACAAGTGGAGTGACGACATCAAAACGTTCATACGCTCGGAAGAGTAGAAAGCAATGTTCAAAATCGTTTGTTTTCCCGGTTTATCGATGAGCCTCTCAGTTGATCTTAGAAAATACTTGTCTGTACAGAAAGACGCTCCGTAATGGTACATCCAGAAAACCTAACCGTCGTGGTCAAATACCGTGGGACTGGTCCTAACTTAGCGTCGCACACCAATGAACGAACAAAACGCTGATGGACGAGCTAAGATGGATGAGCTTCGGAGGATGTCCTGTGGGTGCAAAGAGCAAACCACCTCTTCGTTGTGCTTAATCGACGAAAAGTTGTGAGTTGTTTGTTAATTTGCACCGGTTGTTGTCAGAAGTCCACTTGCAGGCGAACAGCAATCGTAGGTTTCTCCCATGAGAGTATTCACTCTAAGCTGAAAACTCGAAACGTCGTGAGTAGCTGTTTTATCCCTATTGGAAATCGTCAGCAGTGCGCAGTTCACGAATCTCTAGATGCGCAGGTTCAATATTCGCACATTAAACCCTGAATATATAGCGCTCATCAAATTTTTGCAAGTGCCTCCTGCATTCGACTGGTGTAGTCTACGTGTGCCAAATCCATCGTGCCGTTTGCTTTAGAGAGATGGAATGACTTACTGCGATACACGAAGACGATGAGCATCAACATCAGAAGTAAGAATAGTCCAACAGATAGGAGAGTATAAGTCACCAAGCCGGTTGCATGAGTTAGTGGACCAAAAATAGTTGGATAGTAGCCTCCAGCTCCTGAAACGGAAAAATATTGTGTACATTTAGCCATTTTTATAACAAACCGGCTACTGGAATGCCAAAATCCTAAAACAAAATAGGACAGCGTTTTGTGACATGTTGCTATATTCTTTGTGGATTTACGAAACCTGGTGAATATAAGATCATGGGTTGTACACGTTCTGGAAATCGCGGACACTTCAGAGTCTGTGAAATAAAAAACATGCGGTCTACCGTAGTTAGATCCTCAAATCACTCAGTGAACGGTGGGATCACATGGAATATGGTGGTTGGCTTGTTCGCTGAGCTGGGCAATTCGGTTGCAAACGTTTCATCACTAATCGGGGTGACATCATCAGTGCGTAGTTGTGTGTAGTGGTGGGGTGGTGGGTGTGCCACTAACCCACCGCTACACACAACTACGCACTGATGATGTCACCCCGATTAGTGATGAAACGTTTGCAACCGAATTGCCCAGCTCAGCGAACAAGCCAACCACCATATTCCATGTGATCCCACCGTTCACTGAGTGATTTGAGGATCTAACTACGGTAGACCGCATGTTTTTTATTTCACAGACTCTGAAGTGTCCGCGATTTCCAGAACGTGTACAACCCATGATCTTATATTCACCAGGTTTCGTAAATCCACAAAGAATATAGCAACATGTCACAAAACGCTGTCCTATTTTGTTTTAGGATTTTGGCATTCCAGTAGCCGGTTTGTTATAAAAATGGCTAAATGTATACAATATTTTTCCGTTTCAGGAGCTGGAGGCTACTATCCAACTATTTTTGGTCCACTAACTCATGCAACCGGCTTGGTGACTTATACTCTCCTATCTGTTGGACTATTCTTACTTCTGATGTTGATGCTCATCGTCTTCGTGTATCGCAGTAAGTCATTCCATCTCTCTAAAGCAAACGGCACGATGGATTTGGCACACGTAGACTACACCAGTCGAATGCAGGAGGCACTTGCAAAAATTTGATGAGCGCTATATATTCAGGGTTTAATGTGCGAATATTGAACCTGCGCATCTAGAGATTCGTGAACTGCGCACTGCTGACGATTTCCAATAGGGATAAAACAGCTACTCACGACGTTTCGAGTTTTCAGCTTAGAGTGAATACTCTCATGGGAGAAACCTACGATTGCTGTTCGCCTGCAAGTGGACTTCTGACAACAACCGGTGCAAATTAACAAACAACTCACAACTTTTCGTCGATTAAGCACAACGAAGAGGTGGTTTGCTCTTTGCACCCACAGGACATCCTCCGAAGCTCATCCATCTTAGCTCGTCCATCAGCGTTTTGTTCGTTCATTGGTGTGCGACGCTAAGTTAGGACCAGTCCCACGGTATTTGACCACGACGGTTAGGTTTTCTGGATGTACCATTACGGAGCGTCTTTCTGTACAGACAAGTATTTTCTAAGATCAACTGAGAGGCTCATCGATAAACCGGGAAAACAAACGATTTTGAACATTGCTTTCTACTCTTCCGAGCGTATGAACGTTTTGATGTCGTCACTCCACTTGTATTTTCTAAATTTTCACATAAAATTTGTACTAGGAGTTTTTGTAGGGGAATCAAGAAGGCACAAATTTGTCGGTCCTCATAACGCAAAATTTTGAGTGCGCATTAGAGCGCATTGAGAGTTTCAGTACTGTTTTTAACGTGAGGGTTTGCAGTACATCTTCCGCCTCAACTGAATGCAACGTCACAATTTCCAAATGGACTCAGTGCTGAAAAAATTCTTTAGTGTCCATAAAAGGTTATTTTTTAGCATGGAATTCTTTCTGGTCAGTGCGAGGAAACGTTTGTGCACGCTTCATTGAAGTCCTTCAGAAAAGGATTGCTGCATAACACTAACATTCACAAATGTCAAAATTTCTAAATAACAACCCTCAGTTGCACAGCAAAATCCAATGCATTAATTAATAGCTTAAAGTAGGAATAGACTGCTTCCGTAGCTATCGGTTACAACATGTCATTAAGCTTTATATCGCTCAGCAGCGCACTTCATCCAAACTGACTGGCATGAACTTGCCTCGACTAAATTCACGTGGATCCCATTTTAAAATATATTCTATCAGGTTTCTCTTTTGACAGATCTGAAGTGTACTAGGGTTACCTACTGGTGTACTTTTAACAATGCCTCGTCTGCTGCCAGGAACTGATGAGACTAGGTAGGAATTTACCACAGGACTTGTACAACATTATGCTAGAAGCAAGGTCGAAAAGGTATCCAGTTTGTAGCACAGGGATATATCACGGGTTTTATGAAACTGAATTGCACTAAGCTTCACCAGAGACGTTGGTTAACAAAATATCAAGGTTGTTTGTTCACCAAAACAAGCGATTTGTTCGCAGTTTTTCTGAGGAGAGCAATTTCACAAACTCAATTTCCAACCTATTTCTCACTCACTTTCAGTAAAATGTTTCAACCATGCCACAGCTCGTCTTAAATCGCTCTTACTAAGACCTTGTGCAATCCAGACAACCATGAAATATTTTTTGAAGAATATTTTATAGTTTAAAATAATGCAGAGCAGTTTTCCCACGTGAAAAATACAAGTGGAGTGACGACATCAAAACGTTCATACGCTCGGAAGAGTAGAAAGCAATGTTCAAAATCGTTTGTTTTCCCGGTTTATCGATGAGCCTCTCAGTTGATCTTAGAAAATACTTGTCTGTACAGAAAGACGCTCCGTAATGGTACATCCAGAAAACCTAACCGTCGTGGTCAAATACCGTGGGACTGGTCCTAACTTAGCGTCGCACACCAATGAACGAACAAAACGCTGATGGACGAGCTAAGATGGATGAGCTTCGGAGGATGTCCTGTGGGTGCAAAGAGCAAACCACCTCTTCGTTGTGCTTAATCGACGAAAAGTTGTGAGTTGTTTGTTAATTTGCACCGGTTGTTGTCAGAAGTCCACTTGCAGGCGAACAGCAATCGTAGGTTTCTCCCATGAGAGTATTCACTCTAAGCTGAAAACTCGAAACGTCGTGAGTAGCTGTTTTATCCCTATTGGAAATCGTCAGCAGTGCGCAGTTCACGAATCTCTAGATGCGCAGGTTCAATATTCGCACATTAAACCCTGAATATATAGCGCTCATCAAATTTTTGCAAGTGCCTCCTGCATTCGACTGGTGTAGTCTACGTGTGCCAAATCCATCGTGCCGTTTGCTTTAGAGAGATGGAATGACTTACTGCGATACACGAAGACGATGAGCATCAACATCAGAAGTAAGAATAGTCCAACAGATAGGAGAGTATAAGTCACCAAGCCGGTTGCATGAGTTAGTGGACCAAAAATAGTTGGATAGTAGCCTCCAGCTCCTGAAACGGAAAAATATTGTATACATTTAGCCATTTTTATAACAAACCGGCTACTGGAATGCCAAAATCCTAAAACAAAATAGGACAGCGTTTTGTGACATGTTGCTATATTCTTTGTGGATTTACGAAACCTGGTGAATATAAGATCATGGGTTGTACACGTTCTGGAAATCGCGGACACTTCAGAGTCTGTGAAATAAAAAACATGCGGTCTACCGTAGTTAGATCCTCAAATCACTCAGTGAACGGTGGGATCACATGGAATATGGTGGTTGGCTTGTTCGCTGAGCTGGGCAATTCGGTTGCAAACGTTTCATCACTAATCGGGGTGACATCATCAGTGCGTAGTTGTGTGTAGCGGTGGGTTAGTGGCACAACCACCAACCCACCACTACACACAACTACGCACTGATGATGTCACCTCGATTAGTGATGAAACGTTTGCAACCAAATTGCCCAGCTCTGCGAACAAGCCAACGACCATCTACGCTAGCCTGAGCTACGACATTCTCTTCACATGGAATATATTTGCCCTGTGTGGACAGTTCTTGAATTCAAGCCTTTCGGCCAACATCCTGCTTCTTTACTCGTATTACTAAGTGGTTCTCACGGAGGATATGATAGTTTAGGTTGGGCATTCCTGCCAATAAACACACCTACAGCAGTTAACTGTGGCTATTTTGTACTTGCCAACACATATTTTGCGCTAAATGGTAAATATTTGGTAGAGAAGTCACATTTCTAAAGGTAACTGCTGCTCAGCGACTTCAACAAAAGTCCAAAAATTGGGAACCGCATTCGCAAGAATAAATAGCCCGCCACGAAGAGGGACCCGCCTTTAAAACGAAGGATCTACTGTCTCACCGAATGGAAACTGAGGGAACCAATCCGGAGATATTTTATATTTGTTACTGATATTATTATTTATTGATATTTATTGACAAAACGTTAGATGACAATCGGTTTCTTTATTATCACTGTGTGCAAAAGTACATACTGTGGAAAATCTGTGAACATCCATTTATGTACCATAATCAAACAGTCTAGGGAAGCGGTTTAATTCTAGCTATTTTGCTTCTGCACTAAAGTCGCTTGCACCAACAGAAAATGGTTAGTGCCGCCACTCAAAGATAGAGAGGCAAAATATAGCATTTTGTTATTAGCAGAAACGTAGTTAAAAAACACGCAACACGGCCACATTTTGCCATTTTAGGTTATTTACATTGGACTGATTCGTCCCGTTCGCCGGCACCTAAAGTGGTTCTCTAAGATATTGAGAGATAACGTACGAAGTTCGTTTACCAATATGCTAACTTCGACAGCAATTCATACATATCTGCGATAAAAATTGCGCTTTTGCGCAGTTATTCAGCCAGGATTGCTTGGGTGGAGCAACATATACCGGAAATAGAAGCCAATACATCCAAAAATAAAACGCCCAGCCCGCAATGTTAGGTTGACCAAATTACGGAGCCACATATCTAAATGAACTGTTAGAAAGGTTGTGCAAGATATGTGAAAAGATACTACGGAAGGAATTCTGCCAGCCCTTGGGCCTCTTCAAGATTAAAGATGCACCAATAAAACTGCAAGCCCGCTGAAGTAATCACTGTTCAAAATACTACAATGATCAGGACTAGGACAGCGATTCACTCGACTCAGGCTTAGAGAGGAAAATGTATATGAACAGCGTTATTAATTTCACGATTTTAGCTAATGGTCGAACTACTGTTTCCTGATAGCCGGCCAGAAGAGACATTTAGGAAAACTGACATCAGAGCATTGTGTGGATACCAGAAAATCATCGGCCATCAGGGGAACTCTGTGGATAACTTCAAGCCTACTAGGAATGCTGAGTAACTTCAACTTTATGAAAGCCTTTCCTAACCTTAGCATGGAGCTATCTGTATCTCGTTTGAAAAGAGACATTATTTCGTACGAACAATACTAATTCACAACATTCGTGAAGGCTGATAGCTTATTTCTGCGCGTTCCATGGTTGGAAGAATTTTTAAATTTTTAATGCTCAAGGCATGTTGTTTTTATCTTCACAATTTATTGTAATGTTTAAGTGTTGCGACATCCTTTGTTTGCTTACGTTTGATTTCTAGTGAAAAAGGTTTTCTTCAGAGGCCTTTGCTGAGGTTTTGAATAAAAAGATGTTACAGATCAACCTGTGAGATAACATATTGTGTGCAAATTCGGTATTATAGCCGAATACAGTACACATGACAGTCTACATGCGTGGGTCACAAAGGATATCATATCGTTTGCCTATTTTGATAAACGGATCAGGTGCATCGCACATGTGTTCCTAACCATCTATGACTGTTTGCAGTGAGCGGTTCTGGATACTTCTCATGTTTTTTTGCAATGTTTTTTGCATGTTTTTGCAATGTTTTTTTGTAATGTTTTTTTTGCATGTTTTTTTGCAATGTTTAGGAAAGCTCCCTCGAATCAAGCAGACAGCTTTCTTACTGTACATTGAAATTCTCCACAGAAAGAACACTAATACAACCGTGTTTACTCTGGATCAAAGCTAATTTTTCTGGTTAGATAGCTTTAAACGAGTTGCTAAAACTGTCGTAATGCAAAATGTGGGATAACGGTGACAATTTGACGGTATACAAGTTCAATTGTCTTCTAATATCGATCATACATTGACAGGAGCCTAGCTAGCCTTGCGTGAGGGGAAAGAAGTGTCTCTTAGGGAAAAAGAATCCACACTGACGGCACAAGTAGATACTAATGTGCACAGATCAGTCTATCGATGAATTTATTTGACCTGCTTGTATAACACATCCAACGGTAATAACGAGAAACGTACGTATTTTAACGTCTACAAACAGTCACTGCGTAAACAATATTCCATGTTCTTCCTAAAGAGATACATGCACATGGAAATCTTACCTGACCCTTTGTTAAGAGGAGGTTGTATCGTCAAGTAGGCCGGAGGACTTGCACCAATCTTATTAACTGCTCGCAGCTGAAGTTGGCTCGGCTCTGATCTGTCGACAGTAAAGTTCATCCACTGGCTTGTCATAGTATGAGGAACCAAATCCTCCCAGTCAGGTACCCCTTCTTTGGCTTGTATTCTACTGTGTCAATGAAAATAACAAGAGTGTAAATCGGGATTGAATGGCAGTGTGATGATATTCAGGAAGGACGTTACGCATTATGAAATAAGCAACCTGTCAAATGCTATTGAACCCAGTCAGATTTACTCATGACCTAATAACCAAAATTTATTCAGTAGTTTGAGGTGCTTTCTTCAACTTCAGCAACGGTCTCGATATGCCAGCGGGCGGAAATGATTGAAATCATATTTTTCATGGGACAAGCCTTAAGGAGCAATCACTTTTTGTGCTGCAATAGGTCAGAACAGAAGAAATCAAACCTTAGATTGTGCACGCAACGTTTGTTACAAGTTTGGTGTAATTCGAGATTTGGACTGAAAATCTGCCTACTAGAAGCAGTCTCGATATGTCACTGGACTTGTAACAGAATACATACTTATCCCTTCGTTAACTGATACACTCTGGAGCATGATTGATCTCGTAAATAACAATAAAACCCTTCTATAAACTTTATCCCTTCGACGAGGACGAAATTCTCCTGCATAAAGTTTCGGGAAATCAGTATTTTACTACAGCCTTTAAACATGTAAACACACCAAATCGTTTCGTAATTTGCACCATGATGGAATCTTTTCAGACTGTGACAGGTAGTTTGTCATTGGGTTACTTAAAGAAACCTGTCTTCAGAAATTTGACCTTAGTAAGTAAATACACACATACGTTAAGGGGCGTTAGGACCGTGAAGATCTTCAGCATGCGATTTAATTATCTAGGAAAGGCGGATTTTCTCCACTGCTGCAATACACGCCACACAAAAATACGTCAGCATGTTTTCGCCAGATAACAGATACAAAATAATACTACTCAACAACTAATGACATGAGTGATGCTGTGAATGCGCTTGCTCTCAACCATCTTCTAAAATTGGATTAGTTAACAGACAACGTGTCGTCGTACAGTAGAGTCTATAGAACGACCTTTTTGGGTTTGCAAATTCAGAAGTATGATGCCGGTTTACAGATAAAATGTATTCTTTCCCTTGTTCGTGTTACTTTAGCTATGTCATAATAGATCGTAGTGGAACGTATATCCACAATAGAGGTGATTGGTTTTCGATCGCCCCAAATATTAGTGATCTTGTTCACGTAATCCCTTCGAACATGTTCCACGTTATCTGCACTGGTAATATTCTGGTAATATTCTTTCTCGTTACATGTGGATAATTAAAGAATGTGAAATAAACCTACATAAAGCCATAAAATCAGTCGGAAATAGAGATGTTTTGCAAAACTTCTTCATGAGCCATATAATTATTACCACCAGGGAGGGGGAAACCAAATATCTGACAAAATAAAACATGATGTAGCCTGTGCGAAGCAATTTTATACCAAGCACATTATGAATGACAGTCTTATCGGACCTTTGGTTTACAGAAACATACTTTTGAAATGGTTACTTCGGGCTGAAGGATCTTCTGAATTTCATCTCTCTTTCATTCTTTATTACTGATGAAATCATTTGTACTTTGTGAAATAGTTTCACAGTTTTCGGAATAGAGGTTGCATGAGGTTCAAACCGAACTTTCATGTGCCAAATTGTTATCTAGTGAGACAACCCGCGGAAAGATATTTCTGATGAAGAGGATTTCATGAGTAACTTGAAATAACTGGAGAAAAAATTAGCTAGTTAGGGAAGTCTGGTTACTGAGAGGCATTGAGGTTGCTTAAGGTTGCGGTTTTCGCTTAAAATTCAGTTAGTCATTTCAAAATCGTCCAAAATTTTGTAATCACCCTTACGGAAGAGGATTTGTGCACATTTCCTGGATGAAGCATGGCTTCAAGCACGCTATTCATTACTGAGTTGATCGGTACTATCATAGTAATAGGGTCGGTGAATAAAAGTGAAAATTCACATTTTGTTAAACAACTAATTTGAGCTATCCAAAGGGTGCACGGTGGTGTCAACATTTTCATGGAATTTACTCGACTTTTCCGTTGCCTTTGGAAACCGCGTTTTCAATGCATATCAGTGCTCTACGTGGGCCGGGTAGCTCGCATTCTCTCGGGTAAATTTTACCTAGCTGCTGGAAACCAGCCGGTAACTTTTGGTATTAAATTCATTACAATATTTCTCCTCTCGAATGTCGGATGTAAAATTCAACCCCATTGGTCGTCTTCACGTCCTTATTGAAAAAATGCCTTGAAGACATGTCTCTATAAGGCACTTGTGGAGATCGATAACAAACCTAAAGTATGCTGGCAAGAATTTAGACATGACATCATGTGGGATTAACACGTCCCAAAAAGCGTGTGAACTGCCACATCAAAATGCGGACTTGGTACACCTCTCCAAGGAACATGACAACTGACAGAATGTCTCTACTTCGAAGCAAATACATGACCCTATATACACTGACATATTATTTATGAAAATAAAGAATGAAGATGAACCTAACAAATTCCAAACGTGCTTATCCAACACAAAGTTAAATTCTTATCATATGTTATGAAGATGTGTAAGGAATGGTGTAATCCCAGCTTTCATGGTACTAAGAAAGTCCAACTGAACGGTTGAAGATGGGAAATGTACGTTCCAACTGAATAATCGAAACACAGTTTGTAACCACCCTACACCAGCAAAGTTTTTTATAATTCAAATGAATTTCGCAATATTCATTACTCGCTTCAATTTTCGTGACTAATATAATACATCAGTGGGCACCGGTATTTCTAGATGACCTCAAACGAAAAGACCTACAAGCAGCTGCCCACATAATGCCGTACAAATTTTGATTCAGTCCTTTGAGTGAATGGTGTGCTTGATGACGTTATGTGAACGACGTATTGTGAATGCCTGAGAATATAGTACCTTTCAGATCACTAGCAATACCTCTACTTGGTCATGTGCGGTTTGAAATCCCATCAATCGAGTGTACTACAAAACATGGGAATACGACCAAAGTTTAATCAGTACGATTCATCCAGTCATCACCTCAAACTCCAAGTATCTGTCAATGCTACGATGGTCGGTCGGCGCGCCTCTGGGAACTGCATCATCAAACTTTCTAAAACTGACAAACGTTCGCCTTCAAAATGAAGTCGGTTTGTGCCAAAGAAAAATAAACCAGTACTCAGCCTTTTAAAACCGGTCGGTGCACCTCATTTGGAATGATTCCACAAATGAGTAAGGTGATCATGTCCAGGTGTCTAAAAACCACGAGTTTCCGGTAAGCAGACCGACTGTCTCACGCGCGAACAGAATATAACAGCGACTGTGTCTCAGCCATGTGGCCGGTGTCGCGTGTTTGAACTTTCTTTGGCTCCTCAAAGCTTAACTAACTTAAAGGAACTGATTTTGTTTGTAGTCAGAATAGAAATCTGTACAGATAGAATCTTCAAATAGGCCAAAAGTTGTAAGGGGAACGCCTTTGAAGTTTGTCTGTTTATTGATAAATTAACATCATATGCAGAGTTGAAGGCTTCATTCATATATCCACGGCTTACAAGATATTGGCTTGTCGTTTGTGTTAGCAGATTTTATGTTGTTTTTATGCACCCCGTTCTCTTCTGAGAAGTTCCACAAAGTTTGTGTAGACTCAAAACGATTGCGTTTTATAGCTAGCCTTCGCGTCTTATTAAAAACCTATGCCTCAGCGAGTGATTTAAATGACTGACAATAAAATACCAGAAACTTTGTGCACGGACAGCGTAACTACTTCCAAGAGATCTGTTTTATCTCACTTTAGGCGATAGCGAAACTCGTTGGAGAAGAGTCACCAAGGCAACGTATTCGAATTTACTCTGTTTTGACTTTTGTCTTGTTTGTATTTATCTCTGGTCCCTTTGCGACCATTCTTGACTATAACTCGTGAAATGTTGAGACTCCACGGAAGTCCCCATCGACTACAAACTTACTCGGACCCATCTATGGTTCCTTACCGAAATTGTGCTTTCGGTTCCTTTTATATCACAAGCAGTGTCATTTACAGCAAAGTCAACAAAGCCTAAATTAAGAAATCCCGAGTGATCGCTGAACCACAGTTGTCCTTCTCCAATTGTACGTTTGATGGGGAACAGTGAATTTGGAAACGTTTGTGATATCTATACTTCAAGTCATTCCTCCTGGGACGAAACCGCAGGAGAGGCCTATTTTATCCGGACACCGTTTGACTGAAAACTAAAGCGCTAAACATTTTAGCATAGTATTTCACGGGGTTGGTATTAGGACATTTCAGATCAACTCTACCTTCGGGTTTTATTATGTTGGGTAGAACCTAGGCCAAAATAAAAACGATACCATTGAGTTGATGTGAGAAAGAAACCTGGAGATGCATTGAACGTAAATCGACCCTGTGACGATGTTTTTCTTCAGTAGCTATGTTCGACTGTGTACAACAGCCACATCAATGAAGCAATACCGAACAACAAGCAACATCTGGTGGCACATGAATGTTCAGCTTTGTTTGAATGCTTGCTTTAATTCTAGGTTCTTTTTCGGTTGTAGTAAGAAGAACATGTCATTTTAAAGTAGACTTAACACGGACAATTGTGTACTGCTTCCAGATATTTGCTCTTTTTGGACTGTGCTGTGCACCGAGCATCATATTTCAATGCGCATCAACAAACGGGATAGGTTTTCTCTGCATAATTTTGCGAAACTCAGAGCTGGGATAGCATGGTTTGTAAGCTTTTCGTCCGCAATCATGAACACCGCATGTAATGTTTGTAGGCAGCGAGGAGCATAAGGCCCTTCGGTCAGATGACTGACAGTCAAATGGCCCAGCGACGTTTGCTTGTTCAGTGGGAAGGGATTGGGGAGGGACATCGGTGGACGCTGAACTGCGCGGGCAAATGATACTTCCCGGTTGTCCAGGCCGAGGGAGGGGGTTTGGTTGAGGTACCCCACCTTGAGCCTTTGACTCAAAAGTCTGGCCCACAAAGCAGTGGGAAAATGTAGGGTTTTTTTTCTTTGGGGACCCTATCCGGAGCCGACGACTCAACAGTCTGACCTGCTCGGATGTAGGGGGTTGGCCTAACCCGAGGGCGCAGGGAATAAGGCAGGCTGCGCACAGCAGGTGCCTTCTGAGCAGCACCGGGCTCTTTGGTTTTAAAAGTATTTCGAATGTATTGGATAATGCGCCGGCGGTCACGGTCAACCGTTGGGCGATCGGAGTGTGCGGTTTTTGGGGCCGACCTTTTCTAACCCGTCCTTCCTCGGGGGAAGGCAGCATCGCTGCTTCCATAAATGTGAACATGCTAATCGCCTGGGGGCAACACCTTACTGCCTTCACACTCCTGTCGCAGAGGACAGTACGACTTTACCCCCAGACCGCCTCGTAGCACGATGACTCGTAGTACGGGGTCTCGCTGTTGTTGGTCTGGCTGCTCCCCTTTGGACTTCCTGGAATGGTTGCACCTTGTGGAACGAAGTTCCAGCCAGTGTAGCCCGCGGGATCATTGCAGCACTGAAACCCGACCACTATGTCAAGGTGGCAGCTTTAGGTCGAAACCGCATATATTAGACATCTAGAGGCAATGACGAGTACTGTTAGCAAGCTCGGATTGCAGGCTGCACATTTAGAAAGAATATGAGATAGCGATCTGTTTGTTTGTGTGGACCAAAGCGTGGGTTTGTACAGGAGTCGGCTGAAACGCATCATTTGGGAGTAAAAGGTATAGCGCATAGCGTAATGAACCAGACTACTGATTGAACTTAGGACAGAAATGTACCTAGGAATATCCATCTACATACCAGTGGGAAATAGAGTAGTATCTAATGTATTTTCAGGTTTGATTGGCACCGGAGAGTGCCCTTGTGTTACTTTTCCTGCATCTGTATGATCAGTGAGCAATAAATTATACTTTTTGTGGTGGTTTCCAGAAAATTACACGCAAGAAGAACGAAAGCGATGATTATGACGCAACTGTTTGGATTTAGCGCAAATGCTAATATTTGAAAACGACAAACGATTTGTTTTTTTGAACTGAAGCAGTATCTAATGGTTTTACGGTGGTTTTATTTTCCAAAGGTTTGTGAAGCGATCGCATCAATGCGCATGAATACTACCATGGCAGATTTGAAGCAGCATAAGTTGCCTCTTCGAAATTTCTTTGAACAAGTTTTCCTTTCAAGTTGATGATTCTGTATACAGTCACCATTGTTTCGTGCGAATGCAAGTTCCAGGTACCTCTGTGGGTCATTACAGGTGAGAAAAGAAGACTAAGTATGTGAGCTACAGTCACATATGTGCACGTTATTCTTGTGAAAAGATAAGTTTGTGCTTGGCTACCTGATACTGCTAAAATGTTACAAAAAATGAAGTGGTGTAACATGCGTAGATACCTGCATCCTTAGACACATATGTCGCTAGCACACCGCCCGGAAAGATGCATCCCATTGTGATTGATTCCCCTTAGTCCCGAATAACTTTTACTATAATATATGAATAATAAACTGACTTGATTGTCTCAAATCAATATGTCCGCTTCAAAACACGTCACTTCTACATACAGTCCCACGATAAACAAAGCTGGTCTTTTGTTGAATATTTGGTAGTGAACAGCCAATCCATTTATGCTGAAAATTCTTTGGAATAGATGAAATAAAATTCCCTTCGCTGAAAGCGATCTCTCGAACGTTTTTACCATTTTAAGCATTGACAGCAGTTTGAATGAATGCATAGCATTGAAAGTCCTGATAGCGTTATTGAAATCCTAATCCTATGCAAGCCTAACTTTGAGTTATTTGTGAGTGAAAACTGAGATAACTGAAATGCCATTACAGAATTACATCCCATGAGTCGTAGTCAAACTCACTAGCCTATAGAAATACATCGAGTTAACATATAGGGATAAGACGGTTGTTCAAATTTTGTAGATGTAGCGCACAATTAAAAAGGATACAAAACCAATAACCGGTCGGCGTTTTTGGCACACCGTAAATTCCAAATATTTGTGTAGCAGAAAAATAGTTAATATTGTTCGAATAGTTTTGGTCTTGACACATTCTGTTTTCAGGACGAACCAAGGATATCTGACGAAACAGAGAAATGCACAAAAAACAAATTCACGGTGGTAACTTTCACTTTTCCACCGAAACTTGGCACACGGATTATATTTGCGCATGAATCGGCAAGTTTAATCGCACTTCCGTTTCTTGAAAATAAACGTAATTACGCGGTCAAACAGTGGAATGTCTCACACCTCTGGGCTTTAAGTCCTTCGGCTGGTACTGTATCTTTTTCAAACGGCAATTTGCCAAAAGCAAATAGAACAAAATGCAAAATATCACATAAATTGTTTTTATTTTATGTGAATGCTATCACTAGAAGTTTGGAATGCCATTTGGCACTCCGTTCGCAGCTGTAATGTAACATGCCATGTTAAAATTAGTACTAACAGCGTTTGGGAAAAAATTAAACGAACGTTTTCTTAGTTTTTAGTTATACCTGCAACTGAGCACACTTTTGAGCGTGAGCAATTGTTTGTCAATTGTTTGTCCGGTAAATTCTCTACTGCACCTTTAATTTCTTTAAAAGACGAGTCAAGTTTGTAGGTGGCTATGCCAACAGTTGATGTAGTGGGGACAAATCAGTTGTGCCCAACCCTCGTTGATTTAACATGTGTACAGTAGGGATAATGGAAGTTCCAATTAGGTTGCACTACTCAACCTCAATAAAAATATGCGTACATGATAAAGCAGGGGTTCCCAGTCATTTAACAGATAACTTGGATATGACATCTGCGTCCGAAATACGCCAAGTTTGTACAATAAATGATTCTCATGTGAATCATGTTGATACAAATTAACACCACAAAAAACTCAGTCTTCGGATTATGGCACTGAATGTCGTGTAGTTTACTCGAAACTGATATACACAAAATTTTGAAGATAATTTAGAAGCCGTATACCAGTAAAGACAAAATACGCATAGTTCATGATGTGTGAGTGAATTAAATGGTATGTCCAAAAGTATCGTTTGTAATTAGATTTTCGAAAGATTTTCTTGCAGATTAGACAGAAATTTGGTAAAAGATATTAGTGCACTTTGTCTGTTTTGGGCATAATACAAACCGAAGTCCTTTGGGAAGTATTGACGCACTTCTGACAAAACACTGACCCGCACAAAGTTCAACAATATATTTAAAATATCGTGCTCTCGGAGGAACCACACACATGTCAAGTGCTGTTGAGCGAGCTACGCACTATCAGTGGCGCGTAACCAAAAAATTTAGGAAAACATTATTCAAACACGTAAGGAATTAAGTTTTGCAAATTTGTAAAATAAGCAACCGTGTCCACATCAGTGCACAAGCAAGCGTCAAAATTAATAAAATACCCCGATTTCTGAGTTCAGGATTTCTGGAAGACTTTACAATAAACGAAAGCAAGTGACCCCTACACTTTAATTCTTTACCAGTCACAGATGAATAATTCTTCGCAACACAAAAGCAAATTTATGTATTGCGAAATTTCGAATATCGCAGCGACTGAAACATAAGGCGGCCTGGTGCAACACATTCAGTTGCCTGGAAACATCAAAACCGAGAGATTCAACTGAGTCAAGGAAAGCCTCGCGAAAAAGCCAGATTAGTTTGCAAATGAGAGTGTATTCGCTATTCAAAACTCACTTGATTTTTAGGATATATGTGTTAATCGGCTCTCCGTTATCAGGACCAGGTGTCCATTCGAGGGAGTAATCATTGTCTTGTAGGTAGTGATATTGCAAATTGAGTGGCATTGAAGGCACATCAGCTGAAGGAAAAAGGAAATATTTTACGTATTGGTTTGGCGTTGGGAACGTTTATAGCACAGTGCAGTCAGAAGCCGAAGGCCAATCGTGAAGTTAGACGCAGAGCTACGCATCCCTTAGATCGATATATCTGGTGTAACCCAAGGTGGGGTTTATTCGGACCGGATAATGCCTATTCAACATTTCACATGCAAGAAACATTTTTTTGTCTCAGTTTTGTAATTCTTTGACGGAAGTGTTGTAAATTTAAACCTCTTTAACGTGTGTTGGAAATAACGGCATGACATATGGTTTCGTCATTTCTTTTAGGTGTCACTAACATCGAGGATTAGAATGGACTTCCCGGAGTATAGCGAACTGCGTCAAATATCTTCAGATAATTTCGTTTTTCCAATCTGAATAAGCAGGTCTTTCATTTATATCTTTGTGATGTACTACTCATAAGGTTGCTGAAAATCCGTCGACAGCCCACGACCGATTTTGCCCTTTTTTGGGGCTCATCAGGTAGGCACAGTCCCCGGGTTTCCGTCAAACGTATGCTCTACTTGAAACCAAATTGCACGAAGTTAGCGAATATACAATCATTTGGAAACCAATTTGTTTTTTTTTCGAGAGACTCACCTGTAACTCAGCTGCATCTCTCATTTGTGATGTTCTAAGGCAACTGAATGTGCTGCACCAGGCCGCCTCATGTTTCAGTCGCTACGATATTCGGGATATCACGATACATGTATGAGTAGTACATTACAAAGATATGCATGTATCGCGATATCTGGAATATCGTAGCGACTGAAACATGAGGCGGCCTGGTGCAGCTACATTCAGTTGCCTGAGAACATCAAAAACGATAGATTCAGCTGAGTTTTAGTTGCGTCTCTCAAAAAAAAATGGTTTTCGGATCTTTCATTGTTTTTAAGTATTTCGGTCGCTTTTAAGATTGTATTCAATTAGAAGTTATTCTTAGAAGTGGGATGGGTCAAGCCCGATGTGACTCAAAAACAAGGATGCTCCATAAAAAAATTATGCTTATTAGTTTTAATGACCACCTCGTCTCTGTGCCCGCATCGTTATTGTCCTTGTTCCTGTGGGACCATAATATCCTTCCTCACATAATAACAGGACGTTTTGGTAGTGACTATTGCTGATGATGGCCACTGACACGATATCCGCGTCAATAATACCTCCCTCTATGCAGACAAAATAGTAACACAGTTAATGTATCCCATTTATGTTGGCTCGCGGCACATTAGGAGAAGAGTTCAAGTACCGCGACTGCCATTAAATTTTGTTTTGCATTATTTAACTATGACATATGTTATTACAGTTGCTTACCATTTGTACTAAATCAGTATTGTCAACGTTACCGGACAACGTGTGGTTATACTGAGATTATTCCTTGTTGGCTGGTAGCATTTCTTGAATAGGCTTTAACATGGCTTGGGAAGTTTGCTCGAAAAACGGTCACTTATGTATCCACTACACGTAAAATCTTTGAGAAATTATCCTGATTCGTGTTGGGTATAGCTCTTGAAATTCTCCTAAACTAGCCATGATATATTAGAAATGGCTCAAAATGTTGTTATTGTTGTCACCGCTGTATTCGTCACTCTGCCGGAGAAATGTGGAAATCCGTGTGCAACCGAGGTGGATTCACATTTTAGCATCTCTGGAAATCTGGCTTTCTTAAGTAATTACATCAGGCCCACAAATAGTTTATGATATTCATAGAGAAACCAACAAAGACGAGATCACTGTTATTATTAGCTGTCCTCGAGCGGTTATTAGGCTGCTGGTAGAATGCACCACGATATCTTGCTGAATATAGGCGAGCAAATCTAAATCCTGAATCTTCTGAAAGTGGTATTGTTTACCCACAGGGAGCCCATAAATTCTCAGAGGTAGGTCAGCCCTCATGGGTCTTAAGCAGGCATACTGCGTATTCATTTGAATGCCTCATTTTACCTTTACGATCTACATCGTATCCAAATAAACAATTGTCCAAATTTCGCCCCTAGATTTAAAAAAAATCACGTCGGATCTCTCGTCGTGTTATCGATTTCTTGGCGCATTGACTAACAGGAACAGTCTCATTTCCTTTCATGTCTAGTGAATGACAAATGTGTGAACAGGTGCTATTATCTTTTATTGTTGCCGCAAAATTCTTGAACGTCCTTTTTGTATTAATGGACTTTCGCGCTCAAGCGGAGTTGGCTAGATTTACACGGTAGTGATATTACAACAGAGGTATATTGCAGTAAGTCTTAGGAGGAGCTTGCAATGCACAAAAGTAAAGTTGTTGCGTTAGGTAAAGATTGTGTAACACAAAATTAACAGGTACCAGGAGCAAGGAGAAAAATTTTAAGTCTACATTGCGGGGAACTATTGCTGCCCCAAGAAGCTGAAGACATCGCCATTGATTGAAGAAGTCTGCATAGGCACAGCCATTTTAATGTGCGATGTTTTGTAAAATTATGGGAAATTTCAACAGAGAATTTGTCCCATGGGTGAAGCCAGTCCGTACTGAAAACCCAAAAAGTGCTGTACGGATATTTTGTCCTTACTGAGAAGTAAAATTAGTGCGACCTACGCAAAAATCCACAGATTTCAACTTAGAGACATCGCAACTAGTTTTTCGAACATTTAAAGTTTCGGCTACGGGTGAGTTGAAAGCACAATACGCAACTAGATACACTAATAAGATTTCAGAATTTTTATTGGACGTAGACAAAGTCTCTGAGGCATGACTTACCATCGCTGCAATTGGGTTATGTCTATAAACCACGCATATGCTCTTTATGGGGCGGCCATTCAGTCCGATTATTTTGCACTCTTACTAGGTGTTCTGGGCTCCTTTGGAGAAGGAGGTCATTCTTCTTTCAGGAAACGTGCCCAAAACTGAGACCACTATTATTTTGTCCTTTTTTAAATCATACAGAAAGTTTTCAAAACCCCCTTTTTTGGATATGTTGTGCTTGAATTAGGTTTAAAACCGCAAGAATACGTGCCCATATGTGATTTACTCGCTCGATCTTTTCAAATTCCGTCGGCACCTGATCTAGTAAACTTTCGAAAACAGTATCATCATAAAATAATTCGGAGTTTAACCTGATTTCTTGTTTTTATCCCCGTCCGATAATACATTGCAGTCACTTGCGCATTTTCTAATCGAAATATATAAGCACATATTTTCTGTGCTTTTCATTACCTTCAAAAACAATATCCACATGAATAGAAAAAATACCCTCGTGTAGGAAGCCACAACCGCAAATAGGCGGACCGTGATGGCGTCATAACAAGCCTTTGGGGCAAATTTATCTGACACGCGTGAACCTGTATTGCACGTTCACAATACAATAGAACAGGCTTGCTTTTTTAGTGCTATCATCTTTTCGTAAGACCGCGAACCCCGGAGGCGTTTTGACTTGGTAATAGTATTGAACGTCCCATGCACAGCACCTGTGTGTATTCGCTGTAACTCCACTCTGGATTACCAATTGATGAAAGGATTTTTCGTAACGTGAAAATTGCCGGCAAGCAATTTTTGGCCACATTAAGGCCTTTTTAATACGGCATAAAACGTAGCGGTAATTGTCTAAATTATTGGGAACTGGAATGTCTAAGACTGAGGTCTATCATCCCCTTAGTCAGTAGGGTTTATCCGCTCTTTCGTAAAATCTGTAGCTAAGTCTTTTAAATTTAGACAGACGTTTTCAACCGTTGAGAATTCCACGGAGACAGCTACCAGAATGGATATACATCCGACAAATTCTGCGACCGTTGTTCTGATTTTATCGCCAATCACGTTAGCAATGTTGCGTAAGAGAATACCGACCAACACCAAATCCCCCTTCCAAAGCCGAGAAGCTCAATTTAGATCATTAAAAGCCTCACACAGCGCAGAGACCTGTCCAAAACGTTTTCTATATATGATCTTGTGTGGTTTTTGTCTGATCTTTTATTATATGAACTGCAGGTCTGGAGATTTCGTGATACGCTCTGGTGAGAACACCAGGTTTATTCAGCTGTTTTGTTGTTTGTCCACATTCTGAGTCAGGAAATTTTACTACGTGGATAGAATGTTTGAATTTTTGGTAATGTGAGGAGATTTGAAATTTTTGTAGAGAATTCGCTCTGTAAGTGAAGCCGATCTATGCTGAAACGTCGAAAATCACTGCACAAATTTTCATCCTTATTGGGAATCATCAGCAGTGCGCATCCCACAAAACTCCGAACAGTCTCGACCCCGCGACCTCCCGGTTAGTGGTTTGAAAACTTAACTTCTATCTGAGAAGTCGTTGCTCGAGGAGCCAGTCAACACGTATGACCGCGTGATGTGGATCCCGTGATTGATGGACGAGCGGCGTTATATCCCGTCTAAGTGAGAGTTAATCACACTGCTAATCAGCCACTCGTGGCCGAACGGTTAAGTGTTCGAACTACTAGCCAGGAGGTCGCGGGTTCGAGACTCTTGGGAGTTTCGTGAAATGCGCACTGCTGATGATTCCCGATAAGAATGAAACAGCTGTACAATGTTTCTAGGCCTTTCAGCATAGATTGGCTTCACTCACAGGACGAAATCTCCACAACAATGTTTGAATGATTAATTGCTAAATTGGCCAGTAAAATAATCCAAAAACGGTGCCATATGCGGTTTCATTATATTTGGAGTATGTTTTTCTGCAAAAAATAACTTTCACTCCTCTCCAAATTAAACAATAAAAATACGCCAAATAGTAGTTTGAGGCAAATGTTTAAATGGCAAAATTTCGAAGTATATACTTTTTAGTATGCACCTCATATGAAACATGTACACCGCAACTTTTGCGGCACTGTCTGTTAAACTTGTATGTAAGACCACACTTCCCATCCAATTCATCACTTGTTTTACTATTTAGGCGGTTGGTAATTTCTGTTTGAACACATTCGTTCGCCTTTATAGTAAATACTTCATTTGAGCACAAGATATTGCATTTTAAGATAACATTTGTTTCCCTCAGTACCA